CTGGTTCTTTCCCGCGCGAAACAGTTTTTGCAATGTTACGCACTTGTAAGACGGAGACAACACATGCGGGTGTAGCGTCCTCTTAAAGGGAAAAATAAAGATGTACATGACAATCCCTGTATAGGTAGAATAGTAATATAGTATTAATAATTAATGAAATAACTTTTCGTTCGTCAATTTACTGATTATTTGTTTAAGTATTAATTTAAAAATATGATGAAACTAAATTTTCAAAAAATAATTTTAATAAATATAAACATTGATGTAATATTACAACTACTAAAAAATCATAAAATTATATTATTTAAAAGACACTAATAATAATGTACCTGTAGATATACCTATGTAATCTGTATAATGGTATATTATTTCTATAATCCATATTTTCGAATAATAGAAATAAAACAATAGAACACTACAGAACATCAGTAAGTACTATATTTTACTTAAATAATTAACATGGATAGTCAAATTTTGTATTACCTGATAAAACATAATAATTTGTATATAACTTATTTGTATCACTATATAGGTACAAATTATACTTTTTTTTAAATCGTCTTGATTTAGTTTTCATCTTTACTACCTAATTGTAATTTAATAAATAATGACGATTACAAGAAGAATACACGGATGTAATATCAAAACCAACCATCGGTGATGTCGTATAAGTATATAATACATATTACATATAGACATATAGTATATATATTCATATATATCATATGAAATTGTTCGTCCGAATTTTTGAAGCATACTTACTACTAGCTATTCGATGAAACATCTATTTAAAAAAAAAAACTATTTTGCCATACATTTATAAGTAACAATTAAATACTTTATATACGAATCACAAATGRTTTTCTAACGACCATCCCAAACTTATTTTTACCCGACAATTATACCTAAATTGTCTTTAATCGATATTCTTCACCCAAATAGACGTCATTAACAAAATATGACTATTTCCCATTACATTTTTTCAATCTTACAAAATATTTATATTATGGTTGTTCACTGTGTTTTTCTTGATTCTCTTTACAAAATAAATAATAATTATTTTTATTTTTATAATATAGAATATTGCAGTAATTATTTAATAACACATTTTTTTATTTTAATATTTCAATTTTATAGTGACTCATTTAACAAACAGGTTAATGGCAAAAAAACATTTTTTCCTTTTTTCCTTTCATTGCAATCAATTTATTAATCTTAACAAGAGAATTGTATTCAAAGTTTTATGCTTACAATTAATTTTTAGTGGTTGCATAAATCAGTTAATTATTTTGCCATATAAAAACACGGGCGTGGATAGATTTGAACATATTTTGTTTAGCGCAATATTCTAATTTGGCGCCGTCAACTATAAATCTATATAATAGGTTAAGCAATTTCGATAAATAATAATATAATATAGTTATGTATACGTTTGTGTTTGCACAAGTAACACCTCGCAAATTTAGTTTACTTTATAATTAGTGCGAAAATAGTTTAATACAATATAATCTRCATTGCTATTTGCTACGGGTTTGATTGATGGTTAAATCAAAGTAGGTACCTATTCAAATAACGTATACACTTCTACAGTATTACCTACATACTTTTTTTAAATTGTATTTTAATATTGAATATTAAACATATTGCATACCTACCTACAATAAACAAAAACTGAGAATAATAAGCTACCTAAAATTTACTAACGCATATATATTTTCTTAATTTCTGAAAATTACAGCTATCTCTATTTATACAGTTTGTACACGTAATACTTCATWGGTACTTATTAAAAACGTGATCATATTTTTTTAACTGATCTAATATTGTTAATAACTAACTAACTACCTATACCTACATAGGTAGTTGTACAACGTATCAATAACGTGCCACTTTTGGCAAAACAGAAAACTTAATATCACGACAAGGTTATTTGAGTTCGATATCTATCAAATCTGGTGATAATATTGTTGAATGAACGTACAGACAGACGTACATAAACAAAGAATATGTTATTAACCATATATAAACACTCAATTATAATAATATACATTTCAATCTAAGATATGGACTATACTTTTGTCCTTACAGTCATAAGATGTAAATCATGTGCACACGACAATTTTTTTAAAACCTTAACAAACAGCATACAAATACAGTTATTAAGCACGCAATGTATAACCATATAAACGCATCTGTTAAAACGACGAATACCTGAATGATAGAGTATAT